TAGATACTTGCAACTTAACTCAAGTAGTTGAAACTACTTCACCTAAGTTACATTTAGACCCATTTATAAAATAAAAAAGTTTCATTTATTATTTCTAAAAATGAGTTTCTTTTTATAAATGAGCCATAATATCTTTACGCTAACTTACAATTACATTAAGAATACATGTAATACTACTATGTGAGTTTATAAATTGAAAACCTGGCTATCCTGTCTACCTTATAATTACGAATAAATGTGTATATTTAGCTAAATAGTTAAAAAACAAGCCGAATAATAATAACAAAAAACATGAAGCAGATTAAACGAAAATTTAACATTGAATTAGGATGCTTAATGTTAAATCAACAGCAAGTTATTAATAAAAACTCAACAACAACATCATGAACTTTTCAACATTTATATTTTATAATGAACTTTCAACATTTTATATTTTGTAAATGTACTTTTTGTTATTTATTGAAGTAACTCAATTTCAGTCAAATGCAAAACGAATTTATTGAAATTTGAAAAGTTCATGATACTTTATTTTAACGATTCAAATAAGAAATGTAATTGTAACCGCAAGTTGTTCATCGCGCATTTTCTTACCAAGTACTTTATAAAGCTGTTTCAATAATTTGTACATTATATTGTGTTAAAAATTTCCAAATTCATTTTCCACACATGCCAATTCCAGATTTTGTTTAATAGTTTTTTCAAAAAACAGCTTTATATCATCAACGAATTTCCCTAGTAACGAAACTGTCAACACAAATTCAACTTTAATAAGTAAAGTGCCAATAAAACGATAAAGTTGTACGTCATATCCATTTCCGATAAAAAGGACCTGACAGCGCATTCACGAAGAAAGTGGAACTATATTCCACATGCAAACATTATATCAACGGAAACCTTTACTATTGTAACTAGGCAATGAAGTCAAAGATAGTTATTAAAATAGCTTCATAACAGCTTCCTTTGACACCATGTGCAGTAATGCCCGACAAATGGCATGTTAAATGTTAATTAGGCTTTATATTAGAGTTAAATGTACACAGCTTAATTACGGAAATTTTCCATAGTAAAATAAATGTTTCAATTTTTGTTTTTTTCGTAAAAAATTCCCATCAAAAAACGTACAGACAACCTCTGACAATACGCAGACACGATTCTGTTATAACTATTCCATTTTGTTTTCGATGATCACAGAAAAAATGTAACACGTCATTTCTGTAATGCACAGTTCAATAATAAAATTCTTATATTAAATTTTCAAATTCTCGAAAATACTAACACTTGATTACGTATTATTGGTACAAACATCGAACAGACGCGACAAGAAAAATTCCTTCGATACGGACTCTCTTACGGGCTTTCTTAGGTTTCGCATAGGTTAAAGCCAAATACAGAAGATCTAGAAATTTGTAAGGGCGCCTTAAGATTGGATGCTTATAGAAGTGCCACTACTAATTTTCTTATAATATTTAAATGCGCAGCTGTACCGTACAGCTGTACAGTCATCACCATTTTTGCAGACTAGATATTTTAGATTTGTTACATCAAAAGTATTTTAATTGAAAAATCATATTACAAAATTAAAGACCATGTGTTAGATAAAGATGTATGGAAAAACATCATGAGTCTAGATTCCACACAAATATATTTCAAAGTATATTCCATAGCATTTAAGTTTATTTGAAAAGAGCAATCCCTAGAGTTTATTGTTCGTTCTTCTCAGAGCGTTGATGAGCAGTAGCTTAAAAAATGACGTTTAGAAGTGTAAAAATTTTACCTATGGAATAAATTGTTATTTGACTTTGACTTTGTTTGTTTTTAATTGTGTATTGTCACTCGTAACCAGTAAATAAATAGATTTAAGTTAGATTAACGATGTTTGTTTTGTTGTAGACCTTTTCTTCAAAATTATTTTCCGACAATGTCCGACAGAGAACACAGGTGGTTACCTATACATACATATATGTAGTCCGAAATGACATTTTCCAGAAATAACGTTTGGTCGAATTTTCATAACCTCGAAAGTAATTTTGAGAGGAATATTTTTTTTCTTTTAAACCTAACTGAACTTAATCGTGTCTTTGCGATAAACATCCAACATATCCTGAAAGAACAACTGTTTCGTTATAATTCGGTTTTCGGTGTAATGATAATTCGAACAAACGTTATTTCGGAATAAAAAATTCGAGTTTGTGATAGGTTATCAACACAGGCGGAGACTGAGTAATTAAAACATTGCCAAGTTCTATTGAAATTGGTTACCGGTAAATTCGCGAAACCGGATCCATCCCCCTCTAAGAGGTGTAACGTTTTCTTAAAATTTCAATGGAACCATTACTAAGGTTACTCTTTCCAACAAAAAAAAAACATCAAAATCGGTCACAATGCCCCAACAATCGCTTCACAAACACACACAAAAAAAATGCAGTCGAATAGAGAACCTTCTTCTTTTTGAAGTCGGTTTAAAACAGCACTATACTGAGGCTTCGTCCTTTTCACCAAATTATTAGAAATAGAAATCAAAGTAATAATCATGTGATTTTATCTATATACATAATAAATATGTGTGAGTTTTATGAATAAAGTCCTGTTTATTTTAATACGAATGAAGTTCTTCGTATTTAATTTAATATTAATATTGTATGAAAATTAATAGTGACTGCTGCAGCGCCACAGACTCGAAACAGTTTCCGTAGCTCAGATGGGAAAACAATATACATACCGAGACTGTATAACGTATGGTTAGAGTCTAATCAAAGGAATTTTTCTTTGAGTCTCTTCGACTTTTGTACTAATAATAATAACAAATTCGCGGAGCATTTTCGCAAACAAAAAAAAAATATCATGCTGATAAAAATATCATGATATTCAATAAAATGATACAAAAGTCCTTTTTACAAATCTTCTTACAGTGTATCACAAAAATGACGATTTTGCACTTGAACACTTTCATGGAAACGTGACTTTTGTTCTAAAAATCTAACGTAGGATACATGATCCGTGCTTATTTTTGTTTTGTACAACTCGTTAAACAACGAGTGCAGTTCCTTAACGCGATGATTTTCATTAATTATAACTTTAAAAATACCAAACTTCCATAAATTTTTCCATCTACTACGACCTAAAATAATAGTTATACAATATTCATAGGAACTTCTTTGTTGTTATATTAAATTTATTTATATATTAATTTATAAGGAAATTTTTTACATAAATAGCGATCCGTTCACATTTTGTGGTATTCGAGAAATTCCTGGATATTTTTATTTTCATATAATTTTTTGTCGTCAAATTGTGGTTAACGTTTCCTAGAAATTAATCTTTGAAGGGTAACAATTCGCGTCTCGTTTAAACCTGTCTTTTCGCTCCAAATGAAAGTTAAAAATACGCCGAAAAGTTTTGTATTTTAAATCAAATAACACACACTTAACACAATCGATTAAAAAATCCTCCGTTCACAACCAAACGTGATACAAAATTAAATATGAATTTTTGGGCTATTGCATTGTGTTTTTTTTTCCTCTATTTACATTGGCTCACCGAACAGTAAGTTTACACAAGAACTTTTTAGTGTAAGTGTAAATTACTATTCCACGGTGACACCAATATTAATTCAAGACAAATAATTACGTACGTTAAAATCAGCTTACATTACCTTACCTATTTACGATTACACGTATACGTTGATTTCTGTGTACAAATTGTGATCTTAACAACCTGAATTTGTGCACACAAAACATTGCTTACCTATAATACATCATGACAATATTAAAAGAATTCATATTCTGCAACACTTGACATTCTCTTATCCGGTCCAGTTGGAAAATAGTCAAATTAGAACCATCGGTCATTATTTTGACTATTCAACAACTGCTTTTGTGATACTATAAAACTATGGTAGCAACTGAGCATCCTAGATGCTTACACTGTTGTATATTTTGGTCAATTGAGAGCGTTTGTCTCAATTAAACGACCATTTAAAAATGATTCACTGGGCTATTGTGGTTCATTTAAAAGTTGAAATATATGAAATGAAAATAAATGTAAATATTTGGGCTTAGTCAACATCCGTATTGTTGGAAGAATGTCTCGTGTTTTGTATAATCAAGCGTATTCGAATTTTAGAGATGTTATATTATTCGAAGTTACGTATTTCCAATTTTGGTTTAGTCGGTGTCATTGTTGACAGTTATGTTCTTTGTATATGTGTTTGTTGGTGAGAAATCGCTATTTTTTAATGTACACTTTTTAATCAAATAGTAAATAAACTAATCTATATACAGAAAAAGAATAATAACGGCAGTCTTCTGAAAAATAAACAATAATTAGTTTTAAAAAAAATTATATACAGCTATACAAATGTCGTGTAAATAATTATATTGTTTTTTTTCTCGATAAAAATAATAATTGTTTATTTTATAATAAAACAATAGTTTTTTTGTTACATAAACAAAAGCATCAACATTACGTAACGTGCCTACAGTATTTACAGATTTTTTTATGATCTAATATGGCATTTATAATAAAAAATAAAAAGTATCTAAGCCAAGGGAAGTTTACAAGCTTTGAACGTAAATATAGTAAAAATAATTAATAACCAATCAATTTAAATATTTGTGCGTTTTAAAACATGACTAGCATTAGACGTGTTATTGCGTGAAAAAGATAAAAGATTAACGTAAAACATTAAATTAATTATAACTACAATAAAACGTAATCTAAAGAAACTTAAAATGCAAAACATTATTGCAAAAAGTTTCGCTAAATGCGAAAAAATGTGCTTTAAAATCGTTTGGCACATCCAAAAGTTTGTACTAAGCTAAGAAATACACTGCTCTGTGGTAAAGCTAATAAAAAATAAATATATTTTATAATAATTAATAATAAAACACTCAATAATAACCAAACAAATAATTAATGAAGATTGCACTGAATTATTATTTGTCATAGTTTCTACTCTAATTACTTGTTCGGGCGAGTTTTTGTTCCATATTGTTTTGTTCAAATTTTCATCTAATTTTAGGTACTTTTTTTCTCTTATATTTACAGAAATCGTTTCTTCTAACGTTTCCCTATTTATTTACAACAATATCTATCTAAATTTTATGTTACTTTTTATAGTCGTATAATTTTTCTGGCTACATGTAAACTCATTTCCATCCTAACAAAAAGTTCCGAACATTTTCAGTTGTTTAATGTAACATTATTATTTAAGTAACAACATTACCAATCAGAGGCGATTCCATGCTCACAACTCCGGAAAGTAAAAATACTTTTCATGTCCGAAAAAAATAAAAACTGTTTTTGAAAATTCCTAGTCAATATTTTTTTAATGCAAAAATCGCATCCGATTAGTAATAACTGAATTTTCATGGCTGAGGATTCTGCTGGAGGTGGACAGCTTGCTGCGCCGCTTGTTGTGCGGCTTGCTGGGCTGCTTGTGCGGCTTGGGCAGCTTGAGCAGCTTGGGCGGCTTGATGCTGCAAGTGCTGTTGCTGTACAGCTTGTTGGGCAGCTTGTGCCGCCTGTTGACTGACTTGCTGTGCAGCCTGCTGCGCTGCTTGTTGGGCAGCTAATTGTGCAGCTGCTGCCTGTTGTGCTGCAACCGCCTGTTGGGCAGCTTGCTGTGCCGCAACGGCTTGTTGCGCAGCCACTGCTTGTTGGGCAGCCACAGCTTGTTGAGCTGCCTGCACCGGAGATGGTAAATTAAAGCCTAGCATTCGCGGGTCATGCAATCTCAAAGCTTGTTCTAGTCTCTGTTCCTGAGCGATTCGGAATGCTTCTACCAGCTCAGGAGATAGCTGTCCACTGGCATCGTTGGGTGGTTGCGGAGGAAACCCTCCGTTGTGCCTTAATGGACTAACAGCTTCGTTTCCATGCGCTTGTGCTGCTGCCTGAGATACAGCTAATCGGAGAGCCTCAGCTTGGCTTCGGAGTAACGCTTCAGCTTGTTGAATACGCAATGCTGCTTCGTTTGGAGCTGGAGGGGTCTCGGCAGGAGGCTGAGCTGGAGGTGGCTCTCGGGCGAACTGCTGACGCATAGCCGTCACCAGGTTTGCGGCAGCGACTTGGACAGCGTTTGCTCCTTCGCCAGGTTGTGCCATCATGTTAGCTGCTGCAGCAGCAATGGCTGCCACCCGCTCATCAGGGTATGCTTGATGTCCATTATTGGCAGTTCGGAGTAGATCTGTTAACTTATTAACAGCTGCTCCTGCTTCAGAACCAGCTGATGAAGATAGTCTTCCATTGGAGGAGGAGTCCGAATGTGCAGGTGATGGTGGTGCTAGGTTTAAAAGTCCAGAACCACCAGCAGTGGCTGACACTGCTGCGAGGATATCCCGTTCCCGTCTTTCTGCTGCTGCTCTAGAGAGGACATATTGAGCAGCAAATTGATGCTTAGGTTCCATTCTCATATGCTCCATATGTGAGAGAAGACCTGGAAAGTTAAAGAGATTAATAAATGACAGTAATTTTAAGACGGTGTTATATAAAGATCGAACACATAGAACAATTTTCTTCGACCCGGTGAGACTGGAACCCACGACCTTGCTGCACCGTAGCATTGCTCTTACCAACTAAGCCACAGGTCAAGTTACCGAATTGTGGAAATTCTCCTATGTGTTTTTTGTTATAGATCTTTGTACTGGGCATTGGGCACTGGACATTCGTCGCCACTGGCGACATCTAGGGAGAAGACGGTGGTATAGATTAAGCGACGATGAGATGTTACAATCATGTTGGCAAAAGTCAAATCATGCCCTTTGTCAAAAAAGCCACATGTGATCAATTGTGAAGTGCTTGTCTCTTATGAACACCATAAACATAATACGGATTATATGAAACAAATTACCTATGCCTATATATGATACTCTAATTACACGAAACGTGCGACTTCGTTATCAGATCTTCGTTATCAGAACTTTCGTATTAGAACTTCGTTATCAAAACTATGTTATCAGAGCTTCGTTATCAAAACTTAGTCTGCTAAACTTACCACTCTCATGAGTGAATACGGCTTGGCAGACGGAGCATGGCCACATTCTGAGTCCGCTGGTGAGTTGAGTTTCAGGATGGCAGGCGAGGTGTTTTCTTAGGGAACCTTCATTCACATAATGCTTCCCACAAACGGGGCAGGGATGATTCGCCGTACGCCGCTTCGCTATATAAGGATCAATCGGTTTAGCTTGCGCTGGGTATGGTGACGTGGCTGGAGGGCCTGTCACCGGGATAAGGATGGGTTAGTGGGTTAGGTGGGGAGAAGAGAAAAAAAAATCCGGTTAGTCGAGGTTAGAGAATCACTGAAGAAGGCGAAGTTTCGTAAAAAACTTTCTAGAAATGTTGATAATTGGAAACATTTTAAAAATGTATTGCGTATTTTTGACAAAACTCCGCCTTGACGCTTTAAGACTAATAATAAACAAAATTTTTGAAAGAGAAATGAAGGGTTGTAACCGAAACGAAGCTCGTGTGAGATAAACAGAAATGTTAAATCAAACTATTGTCAGTAAAACCAAAACATAAACCAATTAGTGGAACGGCAACAGAACGAAGTTGACGACAGAAAACAGGGAAAATGTAGCTATTAGACACATAAACATAACATGTTATGATAATATAGTCAGAACGTCATCCGAAGAATCTACAGTCGCAAGAAATGTTTGCAAAACACTATACCCTTCCAATAATCTAGAAATAATAACAACTCCCCTTCGGATGGCGTTCGCAAACCACACTTACTAGCTAAGAGATTTATGGAAACGATACGTTTTTGTTTTACCGTTGATTTTAAGAAAACCAACACCCCTTGTGGCTTTGTGCCAGCTGGAAGCTTTTAAAACGCAAAATGATGCTATACAGAATGTTTTGCTATTGCAGCGGCCATTATTTTAAGAAACAAGGTTCAATGTATAAACTTCCAGTGACGTGGCTTACAAAACTAATAAATCCCATCTGTACGAGCGTCTTCACTCATCGCATTGAATCTTTAAATTTTAATCATCAATAAAACGGCAAAACAATTGACACTCAGCACAAAGGAGATGGTACTTAGAAACGAACATTTCGAAATTCAAAAACAGACCATAGACAAACAAAATGAAAAGAGAATCGTATCAGCCAGTATAGGATTCCTTTTTCAAAACCCAGAAATTCAACGACGAAACTTACTCGCAACGCCGGACGCGTTCGGATCCTTATGTGTGTTCTTCATGTGTTCTACTAGAGCTTCGCCACCGAACACAACTTTATGGCAAATGGGGCATGGTGTGGCGGTTGCGCCACCAATCATGAGAGCGGCATGTTGCTGCAAAACACCAAGGTGCAGCTGAAGCTCCTGTCCACCGGGCGGTGGCGATGTGGGCATAGCATTACAAAGATTAGGATCAATTCGTAAAAACATCAAACTTAAAATTAAGGGCCAGAGGGAATTTTGAAATTAAATAAGCCAAAATGGATTTTTGTTTTTAAAAATAAAATAAATAACAGACGATTTTGGGAACACTTCCAAATTGTCATTTCGAAAATAATTAAAAAAACAGTAAAATAAATGAAAAAATAACAATTTTGCGATGCCGGATAAACCTACTTAGGTTTTTGTAGCACCACCATGGTTCAAATTTATAAGGAATCTTTCTCGTGAAAAAAAATTTAAACTCTTTTTCTCTAAGAAAAATGCACTAATGTAATGAACGTAAAAATAGTGTAATTTATTTTTAGGCACCGCTAATTTTGGTGGTCGGCAAATTGTACAAAAACGGATCACGTTTTAAATTCTTTGGAATTCGAACCATTGTCTGTTCTGCTTAACCTAAATGATTAATTACAACATGAATGACGTCAGCGTCAGACAGTATGTGCACACAATTGTAAGTAGTTAGAAGTACAAGAAACATTTTGACTTTTTTATACAAAACTATAATATAAACGAGAATGATTGGTTTTTAGTAATTATCAGAGATCAGAATAGTCAGTGTACGTTTATTTTAACTACAAGTAATTTATATCGAGTGTATAAATACCTCCATTTCAAATTCCAAAAAAATCAAGCTTAGAAAACTTTTTACGAAATACTCTACTGTAATAGCTACACATAAAAAGTATAGAACAAAATACAATACAGTAATTCCGTCATTTTTGAGGGAGGTATTATTCATTCGAGGAATACACACCTCATATAATTAATCACACATTATAAAATAAGAAAATAATTGTTCCAATTTTGTTTCTTTTTACTATACTTGGGTGAATGTTTTAAAGTTGCCAATATTTTAAATGGAAGACAGATTGCGGAATAGTGTAGTAAGAAAACGTTGTGGTGTAAAGATGATTGCGGTGATCAGTAAAGAAACGGGAATGCTTCGATGGTTTGGTCATGCAGAAAGGATGGATGTTCTTGAAAAAACCAGGTTAAAAGCAGAGTTTCTAAATTATCAAGTTATTTATTTTCTTTGATAACAATTCGATAGTTATCAATGCTAATTCATTACTTTTTCATTAAAAATGACAAACGGCGCCAAAACGAAATAAACACAGAGAAAAACCTTTGCCGAAACGATTTGTTGTGTGTTTTTTTTTTTCAAATTGATATTTAACACGTTTTGTTACGTCTCTGATACAAACACATGACTCGATAATGCTAGGGGTAGCAATTTGTTGTTCCAATTAATTTTATAAATAACAAGATAAATTATCAATGATAATAATTATCACTACGAAATATGACTTAAGATGTTTGTTAGGAAGACAGGCGTGAAGGTATGTATATACTTATACTTATGTATAGTATTATATATTTTATTAGAATATATATCATGTATATGCTGTATTTTTTAAATACTGACCTTGGCTGTATGAGTCCTTAGACTGCTTTCAGTAGCAAAGCCTTTTCCGCAAATATTACAATGGAACGGTCTGTTTTTAGCCCTTTCCACCTGGGCATCATGATTTCGCAGGTGCTGCTGGAGGTTAGACAGCTGGATGAAGGCTCTACCGCAGTCTGGTAGGTGACATTTGTAGGGGCGTTCACCTGGAGACGAGAAAAACCATGATTTTTTTCTATAATATCAAGTGACACGCCGATCCATAACAGTGTTGCAGTGTCACTTAGAGCTTTTAATCGCAAAGATCTTATAAGTTGACAAGTCCCATGTGTACCTTACCCTTCTAAACCGCAACGCAGGAATGCTCACGTGCTTGGCGGCAGAAATAGGTAAGGTGGCAGTACTTCCCTGGACGAACAAGGAGCTCTACTGCTATAGAGTGGCTCGTAATATGCCTGGCACTGTTAGGCATGAGTCTTAGTATAATTGATATTCTAATGCTTGGAAATAGTCCTAGACTTTTTCGTACGTAGAGCTTCAGATAAACTTGTTAAACTATATAAATCTAAAACTTCAGGGCCATAATGTACAAGGCTTCCTCCGGGTATCAAACTCATAACCTTATGATGACAAGTAGCATAATAACGACCAAATGAGTCGTGATTGCAATTTTAGATGGCCCTCCGTGTTAATAATAACAATTGTTACAAAATGTTATTACAGTTATTCTATTATCAAAGAAACTTCATAGTCATTAAATGTTAAACTTCTTAGTTATTTGTTAAATAAACTAACAATTTATATTCTAACCGCATAATCATTGGTAATAAACTTGTTTTGTTTTATTTTTATTGAAATATTATTATATAACTAAAACTTGGTATTTTATTTCTTCATCATTAAGTAGTACCACTGTGCGGTAGGTCAGTTTATTTGCAGTTGCTGTCTAATAATATAACTTAATTGACTTTGTAATAAAATATATAAAGCTCCAGTTTGAAAATTTAAGTTAAACGAAAAAATTTCTTGATTCTTTTTTTCTCGAAAATGTGATTTCTAATTTCAAATAGTTGTAAAACGTCGAAACCAAATCGAACCCGTTCGAAGTTCGAACACCTAGCGGTACCCGTTACACCACAAACCAGTCCCGCCAACCTTATAACCTAAAACTTCGCGCCAAAATCCCGACCTAACCCAACGCGCGGAAAGAAAGCGATGACCGGCCGTTCCATTTTTAAAAATAAGACCATAATAAAACGAACGCATACTTTTAGCCAGTACCGCGAGCAGAGGTCGATGACTTACGCACACAGGCGTGCCAACCGCACACGGAGATGGAATATAATACATCGATATAGTGTATCTTTTCTGCATAGTCCTGTAGTTTCAATGTGTTAGTGATTTTGCATGTTTGAGAAGAATGCATGCGTTGCCAGTGCGTCCGTAAAGATATTGTAGAGTTATTTCCTAGATGAAGCCGAACGATATAGCTATGTCTATCTACACGTCCAGCAGTAACGGTCCAATTGACTTATTTATCGATACTAAATTTTATAAGTTGCCTTTATTAGGTAGATTTTACGAATAAAAGTTTAGGTGATATACAGCATTATAAGGACTTTTATGGGACCAAAGTATTTTATAGGAGAAATCATTTGTGCTAGCTTTTATGCTAGAGCTGGAGATTTATTTTGCAGCGGTTTAGAAAGTCGCGGTTGAAATATATTGGGGCTTGTAAACTTGTTTCGGAAAAATAGCGTAAGTCGTTTTATTTAAGATAATGGCTGCATAAAACTATTACGATATCGACTTTTGGCTGCTTAATGAGAGTGCATTAAGATTTATAAAACTAATTCCGATTATATAAAAATCATTTTTGAAAAATACAAATTTAGAAAATATTTTTTTTTTGTTTCTTGATCCGTGTCAGACCTCCTACGTCTCCACTAGTGAGCACGGGTTTTTTTAGGAAGGTTTAGATTCTCTTTCTATTGCACACCCCGCTTGTTTGTTGCATTTCAGAATCTATATATTATACGCATATTTAATTATTTTTTTAGTTAATATAACCAAAATACGTTTCACTACCGGGCACTAGTTTTCGTCAAAACGACATTAGGCTGTTTGATGAACGCGGTTTTCACATTTTACACAAGTTTATTCAACTATAGTCTAAACCCACGCCTGGAAGGAGACCCGTGCACAGCAGTGAGTGGTATAAATGGATATACGAGTATCTATAAAAATAATTAACTAACTTTTTCCTCTATTGTCTACAAGTCTACAACATACTGGCCACACAACTTTTTTTAAATCTTTTTTTAAATGCTCAATGGGAATTCAATAAATTGTCCATGGTTATTATAAAACTATCATACAACATTGTATCTAAACTCCAATAGAAAAAAAAACTTACAAGCAAGATTAATCTTGTCCATGGCAAATATTTCCGGGTTCGCCGTTCGTACCATTGTAGGCACACAGTCATTTTTCACCCATACAACCTACGCGTTTCCATACAACCAATCTTATTTGACCCTAGGGTTTGGTTACAGTGGATACAAGTTAGATGGCAGGACTAGATCTTTGTAAAATAGACAGGCATTGTCTGTGGTAGAGATTTCTATGAATCGAGTTTTAAGATCGATCTTCGGATTTTTTATTGGATTTGTTGAATTACATACATAAAATGTTTAGGTTGATCCTTGTGGATATGTAAAATAAATGAGATAGTAGGTTTTATGTAAACTGGTCATTGTTCTAAAGGAATGAAAGTAGACCGGAAAATAAATTCAAATTTCGAATTTGAACAAATTCCTATTAGATTGATGTCTAATTACTAATAGGAAATGTTTTATAATAATTACTTTATTACCAATAGATAAGAAAGATTCATGCAAAATTTTAAGATATAATTACATTAAATACGCGAAAAGGTCAGCCCTTAGAATATTACAGAATCTGAGGCCGCGCAAACAACTTCCAAAATATCGATTAAAATAATTGAAAAAAATATCGAGAAAATCCCAACACTAGTCGATGGTTATTTTTGTTATTTCTCTATGAATAAGTAGGGAAGGGAAAGGCGTTCGCCTTAGCACAGTTCGACGATGTACGATGTCTCAGGATGCCTAGCTGAGATTGTGAACGGCTCGCATTAATTTGCGTGCCAATTTCAAATTAACCGCTTTTGTCGTTCGATTTTTAAATGCATTTTCTTAACGTTTTCATACTTTGTTGACGCTTGGTTTCGAACAAATGTGCCTATAAAAAAAGTAAAGATATTACCGTGTATAAATTTTTTAAAAATCAGGCAGGAATACAAATTTAAAGTAAAAAAGTTGTTACTAGATAATTGGTTGCCATTCGCAACATTGATTATGAATAATGAAAGAAAAAATACAATAAAATAAGAAAAAGAACGATTTGGTTATTTTATTATTACTTTCTAATTTTATTATATTATTATTTCTTTAAAATAGACAATTAAAAGCAAAACACTGCGAACTTTCAACTTGTCATTATTATATGTCAGAATTATTTTTTCAATATTTACTGGTTTACGAAAATATATTATTTAGGAATATAACGCAAACGTTCAAACACGGACACAATTCAAGTAAGAAAAAGTTTAAATAGGCGGTATAGTCGGCACTATAGGACCAATTTGCAAAACTATTTTCTTTATATTCATTCTGGTCTTGGTCTCTGTGTTCTATGGAGTTAATTTTCTTTCCCGAGTTTGAAACTAGGTGATGTAGTGTGCCTGACACATTATTATTATTTATTAAAGCATTTCACACAAACACTCTTCTTATAACTCTTGTCAGTATTCAAAAATTCAAATAAGTACTAAAATTGAGGTCCAGCTCTCACAAAGAGCCCAGGTCTCAAGTTAAGCCTACGCATTGATTTCCATACAAAAGTACTTCCTAACAGTATTATCGTTGACTTACGCGTAGGCATAAAGCATTCTGAACCAGTGCCTTGACGTCTACTTTCTTTAAAAAATATATATTACACCATAGACGCTACGTTTTGCTTTTAAAGGAATTTGGAATTTGGAATTTAGTGCCTACTCTTATAAGTCAAGAATGTGTTGAAACGTTACAATTGTGGCTAAGGAATACTAAGTTCTTTTTATTTCGTAATAATACATTTATAATTGAATGATGATTTTCGCAATAATAAAACAGTATCGCAAAGAAAAGATAACAAAGAAAGTTTTGACTAGAAATTAATTTATAAAAAATTGGCTCCAATAAACATTTTTTTAAATTCATAAGTGGATTGCATAGGACGCAGAAATAAATTCCTCGTCGATTTTAAAACACGACAGGCCGTCGGACGCGAGCGTGTAGCAAATTTATTTTTGAATTTGGAACGCAGACTTACGCGCCATTTTGACTTGTATATTCGAATAATTCTTGCGTGTTTTCGACGCATGTTTCAATCAAATTAAAATTCATGAACTTTGGCCGAATTAAAAATAACTTTTAAAATTAAGCTAATTATTTTCTTAAGCTACACAAAGTTCTAAATTGTTTGTAATGTCTGGATACGAAAAGCGATAAAGTTTTAATACCGCAATTTTGTGCTTGTTATAATTTTCGTAAATATGTTATACAGATGCGATGAATTACTAGGTTTGTGCAATATAATCTTTAATTTCAAAATAGTACAATTTGAAATATAATACGGTAATTTATATTAATTAATAATGTGCTAGGAAAGTACACTAATTGCCTAGACTCAAGCTAGAAAATTTCCCTGTACTGGGAGTACCAGAGCAGAGGAATTCACTCTGAGGGCACTTCCCGGAACACCCAGACCAGAAACAATTTAGTAAGGTTCATTTCCCAATTTGGTCCAGGAATCGAACCCGGGACCTCTCCATCTAGCGCCTACAATGTTAACCGCTGGATCAATATTCTTTACTGCATATTGATGAAAAAGTGCATCACACAATGCAAGCTGTTTTTTTTATGACAACAGTTTGTAGAGCCACTCGGAGCTTTAGGTCGTAAAGATCTGAGACATAAGTTGAAAAGTCTCATATGCCTGAGATTTCACCAACATCTATAACCCTCAAAACCGGAACGTAGTAATGCTCACATTACCGCTTGGCGGCAAAAATAGGTAAGGTGGCGGTACTTCCCTGGACATAATATAAATTAATAATAAAATAAAATAATAAAATAAATTA